TAGCTGGAGCTCAGGGGTGATCGCAGTTGCAAGACGGAGGGGACTTGAATGTGCAGCTCAGTTGGTAATGGAAAATGTCCTGAACCACCCGGTGGCTCGCCGGGTTTTTTTTTGCCTTGATTCTGGGGCCCAGGACCCGAAAAAGGAAAACCCAAGATGTTCAAAGTGCAAAAAAAAAAAACCCTTGATGAGTGATTCCAGTCAGTGGAATCACTCATCTGGGCCCCCTCTGCCCAGCCTTCCCCCCCAGCCTCCTCACAACCCAGCACAGCCTCTTTGTGCACACAAGGGACTGGCTGAGGAACAAGGGGCCAGAGGGCTCCAGCCAGGCAGGGGCTTGAACCCAGAACCTTGGCCACCTAGGGTAGCACCCTTACCACCGGAGTACCAGGGAAGGCTGAGAGCTCCTGCTGCCGTGGGCCCCTTGAAGCGCAGTGGCCAGGCCCCGCCATGGAAAGAGGACGGCGCCTCCCTGCAAAACAGGGGAGGCCAGGACCAGAACCTGGGACCTCAGCACCCATACCAAGAGGCCCAGCACCACACACCACATGGCCTGGCTGGCTCAGCCCCTCACTTCTGGGCCCCTTGACTATTTCCCTGTGGACACGCGCTGGCCCCACCACCAGGGCACGGACCCAGCCTGCCTCGTGGCCTGGTGGTCAAGGCCCCGTGCTGTCAGGCAGGGCCCGGGGGTTTGACTCTGCACAGAGTAGACGTCCTCTGGCCCCGGCTTTCACTCTTGCTTTCCCCAGCGGCGCTTGGCCAGCTGCTGCGAACCAAGGGCCATCATATTTGCCATGCCAGAGAGGACTTGTTCCAGCCGCCCGTGCTCGAGTCCAGAGAGGTGGGGCTGGAGGCCGGGAGGGGAGGTCTGCCTTTGTTTGCAGCCACAGGAGCTGCCTGGAAAGTGTGAAGCCGTGCGGCACGTCCCCTTGGGCTGCAGGCACCGGTCTTCTCCGGCTGCTCGTCAAGGGCCACTGCGGGGTCCCGGCTCCTGTGCAAGCCCAGCCAAGGGTGTGCAGAGAAGTGGGGCTCAGAGGCCTCCAACCACGAGGGAATCCGGACCCCCAGCCCGTGCTTCGCAGCACCGCGCCCTGGCCCCCCAGCTCTTGGTGAGACCTGGGCTTGGGGGCAGCAGTGGCCTTGGGCTGCACTCTGGGAGCTGAACAGCTGTGTCCTGAGGAGCATGGATATGTGGGGACCCAGGGAAGACCGCCTACCCAAACACCCTCCCCAGGGCCTGGCTCAGACCAAGGTTGAGCTGCAGAGCTGCCTCTGGGACCGCAAAAGGCAAAGGGCCATGAGCTGGGTGGCTGCTGGTCCAAGCCCGGAACAGCACCCCAGGGCTTCTGTCCTCGTGGAGGAGTCCCAGTGCTGTGTGCAGGAGGCTGCTCACCACCCCAACGAGTTTGTGCTGTCCAAAGGTGCACATGAGATGCTCAAGGTGTAGGCCAGTGGTCCCCACTGTGGGACGCCTTCCTCCGTCCTGTGCTGGGAGGCAGAGCTTTACTCTGGCTGTGGGGGGACTGTTAAGCTGCCAGGGACTGCTGCTTTCTGCCCAGGGACTGAAGAGAAACTTCTTTGCCCTCCTGGCAGGTCCCCTGCCCTGTGCTGGGTCACAACGCAGACGTGGCTATGGGCTGCATGGCCTGCAGCATGATCTCGTCCATCCCCTATTCCAGGGGCAGGCAAAATACGGCTTGTGGGCTGAATCCAGCTGGGGGCTAACCCCACCCCACGGGGCCATTGTATCTGGCCCATGGGGCTCCTTAAAATTTTTTTTTAAATTATATTTATCTGTTCCTGTCTGCCTGTTAAAGATGACAGGAGCTAGGAGCAGTAGGACCCAGGGGAAGCCAGATAGAGTCATCAGGAAGGCCCCCCACCCCCCACCCATGGGTCTCTGCCTGCCACAGCTTTCATTGCTCCCCTGCACACGGCTGCTGCAGCACCATGTGTCCCCTGGCTGCATTGCTGGACCGCCAGAGCACGGGGACCACGCGCGTACCCCGCGGCTAGGAATGGGAGGGGGTGTGTCCATACGTGTGCATACACGAGACCATACACATGCACCCGCATCCACCTCACACTACTGTGTGTGTGTATACACAGACCCTCACGCCCTCACACAGCCCAGCCACCCTCCCCCACACAACCCCCTATAAACCCCGTATCCACCTACACCAACATATCCACACACCCACGTGCTCTCTCACCCACACCCCAACACCTATCCACCCCTGCACAACCCCCCACACCCTCCATACCCACAGCCCCCACAAACCTATACCCACCCCCACAATATACAAGAATAAGACTTCATTTTATGCTATTGTGCAATGACCTCTATGTACACTCCAGAAACTCATGTAAATCAGGACAAAATATTTTTTGAAATCAAAATAATGAAAGTTGTAGATGTTTGATTTTGGTATTTGTCTGGTTCTGAGATGCCAAAAGCCCTTACTGAAGGAGTACTTCTGGAGGCAACGGGAGGGACTTCTGGTAGCAAATATTGGGGGTTAGGGGGCAGGACTTCAAGTCCCAAGATGACGACCAGGGGGTGGGACAGCTGTCAAAGGGCGGGACTATCCATGCAGCCCTCAACAGTGTGCCAAAACTCGTAAATGGCCCTCCAACCAAAATAATTGCCCGCCCCTGCTCTAGACTCATAGAAATGAAGGTTGAAGGGACTCAGGAGGTGACTTCTAGTCAAAGCCGGACCAGCCCCAGCTACATCGTCCCAGCCAACGCTCTTAGATCAGGCTTAGCTGGCACGTCAGCTAAGTCTACTTTAAACACAACCGCTTTTCCCACATAGCTGCCTTCAAGTGCTATCTGGCCTGATTGATAGGCTTGTTACAGTTTGCTCCTAAAATCTGGGCAAAATGCTGAAACTCTTGGTCAACCGATTCCCAAAGCGCTTGAGCAGCTTGTAACTGCCCTTTGCTGAGAGCGGAGTTGAAGGCCTACTCACCTGTGAACGTGTTCGGGCAGCAGGTGAGAACAACGGAGGCCACGAGGCAGCCCATCGCCCCGGCCATGCCCAGCCAGCACGACCAGCCGAAGTCGTAGTGCACCCCCAGGAACACGTTGTGCGATACCAGGGTGGCTCTTTCCATGTAGACGTCCACCGCGTACCACACCGAGCCCACCAGGCCGAGGACACCTAGCAAAGGAACAAAGTTGTGAGTCTGGAGAGGACGAGTGGGGCCGTCTGTGGGTGCTGGGAGCTGTGCAGGCGGGGTCGGGGACAGAGGGACCGCTCAACCCCTTGGGAAGGGGCAGAGAAGCTGTGGCGGGGTGGCCTTTGCCCCAGTAAATGCTCTACTGCAAAGACTCTGCTGTGCTGCTCGGGGCTGGGGGCTGCACCGGGAGGTAAAGTCCCTCTCAGGAGCAGAGCTGGAGGCTCCCTCTGAGAGCCAGGGCCAGGGAGCCAGGCACGGGGGCTGCAAGGCTAGGATGCTCAGACGGGGAAGGGGCCTGGGCTCTTCCCCCACTGCTCCAGGAGCCATACCCGGGGATAGCCTCAGAGCCCAGGCACAGCCTAGCAAGCACCCCCCGGTACCCCCAGGTTGTGTCCACCCAGCACGGGCAGCCCTGCCTCTGGGGAGCTTCGTTACAGAGGAGGCTGGGGCCCAGGGCTTCCAGATGCTTACTTCCAGTCCCGAGAACGAGACCAGCCATGTAGCACAGCTTCAGTTTGACGTGGGGCTCCTCCTTCAGAAACGTCACGCAGTCGAGACCGAACAGCAGTGTTAGCAGAGCAAAGCCGGCCAACAGGTCGGCCGAGATCAGCAGGGCCCGCGTCACCACGATTTTCACTAGGACGGAAGAGCAGAGCAAGAGCTAGTTGACGAGGCAGCGCGGATGCGACGCCAGCCACTCCCGAGAGGTGTGTGTTATTGGGGAGGGGGCAACGTCTGTGTGCTATGGTGGAGACCGCTGCCTCACCCGCGGACCAGCACTGCATTGTTTCTCCATTCTCCCCAGTCGTCAGGAAGCACTGGTCGCTGCTCATTATCAAGCACACGTTGTGAGCTCTTTGGGGACTTTGTAGTGCAGCACCTGGTGCAGCGAGGTCTGGGCCCGTGGCCGCGGCCCCTGGTCTCTAGAGCACCAGCAACGGTAAAACTCATCGTCACAATGACCACATCACAGTGTGCAGCACCCTGCCAGGATAGGATGCAACCAGCAGAGTGTTACGGGAGTTGCTACGTTATCCCTTCCCATCCTATTTACAAGCCTGTGGGCCACCCCTGCCAGGGAGGTACGGGGCATGTATTGGGTGGGATGCACGGCAGCACACGTGATGCAGTTTATGCAGGACTGGCTTGTCCTCTAGAGCGTGTGGACATGTGCAGCCACGGGTCTGCTCTGCTGTCGGTGTGCTAACCAATACGTTTAAACCACCTAGACCAGGCGGGTCGGCAGAG